CGGTATATAAAGTATTCATGAAGAAAAGAGGCTACCTACACTTAGCAAAATTCATGAAAAGCAAAAAAATTCAAAGACTTCAAAAATTTGGAGAAAAACCGGCAAAACTGCCGGATGCTTGATATTAACAGTCGGCCTTATGGCCGACAGAAATGTTGAAACAAAAATTGTTAATAAACCCCGACCCCGGTCGGGTAATGATACAAGACAAGCGGCACGCAGGCCAAAGAAAGTTGACATAAAAGCTGAATTCAAGCAGTTGGAGGGCGCTCAGTGTTGGCAGCCTCAACAGGTGTCTGTTCTTTCTCGGCGTTCGCCTCCTTCTGCGCTGGATCCTCCTCAGCGGAGGTGGAGTCGGACACTTCGTCCTCCGCATCCTCGCCGCCGTCTACCTGCTCCATGATCTGCTTGTTGTATTGATCAGAATAGACGGCGAACTGGCTCTCCCACTTTTCATAGCCAGAGTCAGGGAAGAGGGCTGCCCATGTCATCTTCATGATGGCGCTGCAGTCGTCCATCATGTCCTGAACAAGCGCCATCTTCTCCTCGTCAGCTTTTTCGTTAAGCTTTTGAGTGAGGTCCGTTTCTTGACTCTGCAGGCGGCCTTTAAGCTTAGTGATCCGCTTGTGGAGGCCCTCGGCTTCCTGGTCCGCCTCCTTTTGAGGCGCCATCTCCTCTTTGAGGTCTTTAATGGACTGCTCCAGCTCCAAGATTTTCTTCTTGGCCACCTCTAAGTCCTTTTTGACCTGCAAATTGGCTGACGCCTGGTAGTATAGTATGTCAGTGGTCAGAATCTCATTTTGAGCTATCTGGAACATAGCTTTATCAGAATCAGAGGCGGCTATGGCCTTCGCAGCTTTTAACTATTTTTCTTCTCGTTGATGGGCTTGCGGAGACCATACACTCGCAACATAGACTGCAGTCGGCTAAAAAACAGTCGTCAGATACAGGCGGCAGGGAAAATGCACAAAAATGAAAAAGAAGAATTTTTTTTACTAAGTGTACCTCGGCAAGGAGAGCTAGGATGGCTTCGAGGTTAAGGGTGTCGACTCCCTTAACAGACTTCCTGTCCTCAACAGGGATGGCCTTCAACATGGACTTGGCCATCTGAACCAAGTCCGGCTCTTCAGGGGCGTCTGCAAAGTAGACTTTGGTTAATATGCAGCTATAAAGTAGAAGGCATGCCGCCTGCTTTTTGAGCAGGCGGTTACTTGATGAAAGATTGAAAATTTTAAACATGTTACACCTGTAGCCGTCTCCTTATCCCTGGGGGACCGGCTGCTACCAGGGGTAGCTGGAGTCCTTGCCCCACTTTGGGGAGTCCTCCCTTGCCTTTCAGCCGCAGGACGCCTAGTGTTGCCAGGGGTCGACACGTCCCCGTCCGTCTGCTTTCTGACCTTGGGGTCCAGCTGAGACGAGGAGGAGGGTCTGACAACATTGCCCTGCAATACGAAACATTTAGCAAGCAAACAGGCGACATGCACAAAAGGGTTGTATTGAATTAATAATCAACTTACCCTAGGCGCCTGTTTGGCAGGCGACTCTTTAGCAGACCGCTTGCCCAGAATGGCTGCACGGATTTGGGCGGCTGCTTTCTTGGAGGCCGAGATTCTCTCCATTGCTTTATCTACAAAAGACGAATCATATGGTTAGACAAAAAATCAGCTAAGTATAGACAACACACTTAAAACAGTCGACTAGTTACCTCTCGACATCTCCTCGCTTAGGCCGCAAGCGGCCAGGTACGTCCCATCGTATAGCCAGCTATACTTTGGGATGTATTACTTAGGGATGAACTCCCTCAACCCAGTTTCTAGGTTCGCCTGTATATACACCTTGAAGAGCCCTCGGTCAAGGATCTCCTCCTTGGCTCTTCGAGGAACAGGCGGCAGGTTAAAGCCGCCTGCTAAGTACGGTGGATCCCTGTTCCACCTATTGTACTTTTTATTCTTGATTTTATCAGGGCAGGAGACTATGTAGAAGGTGTTCCTCCAATTTCCACTTGTTCTCCTTGTCCATTGTCATCATATAGCCTTTATGGCTAGAGAGCTGGTACCAGCCGGTCCCACTTGTTTTAGGGGTCCGGCTAAGGTAGTTCATATAGGCGAACGCCTCAAAGCTTGGGTCCATCTCATACATCTCGCAGGCGGCCACATAGCCCAGGATGTTGAACCAAGAATTTGGGGCTAACTGCTAGAGACCCGGTTGGTATCCGTCCAAAATCCTCTCTACAACCGGATGTAGAGGAAATCTTAAACCAGCTTTAATGGTCGCCTCGTAACAGCCAAAGCACTCGTCCCTATAACTGGACATCTCTGGCCAGACTACCGTGTCCTCGGCATCCGGCACCATAAGGATGTAGCCATGGCCCATTATATGGTCGACCCTGAAACTCTCTATTCTCTTGGACATGGCCTTGCGCCTGCCTTTGGAGACATGGCAGAAATAGGGAGTGTACAACTCTCTTTGGGAGGCGGCTGGCTCTGCCCATCTTTCCCCCTTCTCTACTGAGTGACTCTCTCTGGCCGCATGTAGCCGAGAGTGCTTCTCCTCTGAGTCGTCAGAGTGCCGACTGGAAGTGCTGGGCTCAGAGTCGTCGCTCGAGCTCTCGACCAGGGCAGCCGTCTGCCCAGAAAGATCAATTATGGACGGTTCATTTGTACCTCCTCCCTTGATTCTGCCAGAATAGAATCACTAGGGGTGCTAGGGGCGCCAGGCGGCACGTCCGAGATTTCGCTTATGGTGACGTAGAATGAGGAGCCGTCTGAATTTGTTACTCTTTTGGTTCTTTTCGTTTTAGCCATGGTGTCCTGCACAGACACATAGACAGTCGGACTCCGGGCAGTTCGCAAAGGGTGGTCCAGCAAGGGGCAGCCGGCACTCCTAGTTCTAGATTCAGCCATCCCCGGTGACCGACTGATCACTAACCTAGGTCGTGTCGCGTGCTTTTGGGCTACCATTTTTGGAAAAAAGAAAAGTAAAGAGAAAAGTACAAGGGAACAGGCGGTTACCTTAGAGAAGAAGTCTGAAACTTTAAGAGCTTGGAGTCTGAGAAACAGGCGGTCTGAGAATCAGGCGGTCCGAAAAACAGGCGGTCTGTAGGCAAATATCAGTCGTCCAATTTCAGAGCAGGCGTCCAAGTTCTGTCTGAAAGTTTCTAGAAAAATCAAATGATTGGGACAACCCTTATTAATAGGGGAGTGAATTCCAAGAGAAAAAAAACGGTAAAAACCGTTAAGCCAATCATGGCGTGACACCTGTCACAGGCGCTACGTGGTATGCCACGTCACCCTTGTGAGGGGCAAATGATTAGGGGATTTTTCCCCGCCACGTGGACCACTCACGTCCTGCCACGTGTCATCCACGTGGACTAATCAGAGTCCGCCACGTGTCGTCTCGTGAGAGGTCTAGGGCTGACCAATCAGGCCACGACACGTGGCAAACTGATAGCCCATCAGGAAATAGGCCTTCTACGGCCCAAATTCCTAGGCAAAGCCCAGTCAGGCCTAGGTTTACTAAAACCTAGTAATGGGCACATTTTCCAATGCTATATAAAGAGATGTTTCCCTCTAAGGAATATCTATTCAGAAATTCACATTGCAGATACTCTCTTGGAATCCATGAGAGACCCTTTACTTTCCGCACTTGACTCCTCATACACGTTCTAACTTGATCGTCGGAGGCGGAACTCCCACCCACCGGAGTCTCCGTTGTTTTGCAGGTACAGGCGTCCAGGTCAGTGTTGGAATTGTAACTCTCCCGCAGGACATCAAAAAACCTCGAAACAAAAGGCATAGTGAATAATTTTAACCACAAAAATGGCATTCCGTGGTATTGTGGGGTCCATGAGAAGCATCGTAACCTATTTCTATTTCGGGTTTGAAAAAGTATAAAATAAAGGCTATAATTTATGCCTTTAGACCGATGTTGGAAATTTTTTTCAAATTGAAGCGAATATGGGAGATGTTTCCAAGGTTCATATAAATTGGTTTTGAAGCATATCATGCCTATGGGATTTATAAAGTCCCAGTTCAATTATGTGGCCATTTCGAAATTTTGTTGCATTAAAAGTCAGGAGTTGCATGAGATGGTTCTAATCACAAACTTGTTTTTTGGGTCCCATTATAGGTATCAGGAATCATTTAATATTTCCCAAGACTAAATTTATACTAATATGATAAAACTCGCTAAAGAGTTGAACATTATAAATATGTAATACTACCTCCATTTTTTTTTAGTTGACACCTTTCTCTTTTCACGCTTGCCAATGCACTATTTTAACGTTTAATATCTCTAATCACGACATTGTAAAATTATAAGAAATGGACTTTAATAAAATATACATTGAGACGATTCAAACAAGATTCCACTTGACTATGTTTTATCATAGCTATAAACCACAAGCTAGTCAAAGTGTAGTTAGTGAATAGTGTAAAAGTTAAATGGTGTCAACTAAAAGAAAACAGAGTTAAAACTTGTACTATCATTATTCGGTAAGCTTGTTATTCTCCTGGACAAAAATATAAACCTTGTCATCAAACCTCTCTAGTGGCATTGCTATTCTCGGCTCTATCAACACCACCCACGTACCCTCACAGATACGCAAAAGCCACAATCCTCCTATATATATAGGGAGTGAACAAACCAAGCATAGGCGCTAAGCGTAATTGTTCGAACTAAGTTTGGGGTTTCTTGGCATATGTTACGCATTTTATTTTCTCCTTGTGCCTTTCTACAATCGCAAGTGCAAGGCGTCATCTACCTCAATGGATCCACAGCTAAATGCCTAACTATTCTCATGGCTCCAAAGTGGCAAACCACAAACCATCTTCCTTGACATGAATTTTACCCAAGAATAACAGACTTTACACTCTTCCAGCCATTATACAACACATAGAGTAAGATAAAAAGCCTATTTATATCGCATACAACATTTCAAGATAGGATGTACAAACTACAATATGAGCTGCAGAACAGGCATCCAAAGAACTCCTATACTCAGATTAAGTGATAATTATAAATCTGTATTAGCACAAAAAAGTAATAAAAACATCATATTGTTCTTTTGCCAAATTGTTTCATCATATAGTACAACAAAATTATTCATTGCAAACATCACTGTCCAAGTCTCAACATATAGACAATTTCCTAGTGCGATCTCCTTTTCTTTTCTTCTTGGGATGGTAGGAAGGAAATGAAGGTTTTACAGCCATTTAATGGTGAAAGGATCTGGGAGAGCACAATCTTTGCAAGGAAATGGAATATCCCGTTAAGCTTTACGAGTGTCAGATTTGGAACTGATCATTTACATTTTCATAGAGAACAACCCAGGTGAAAAACCTTCTAAAAACTAGGCTTGAGATCTTGATTATATCTCCATTTTGTAGCAGGATGCACCCAAAAACATAGTTCAGCATGTACTTAGTGCTTACTTTCTCCTCCCAGCACCAATAGATAGAAACTCGAAGCTCCTTAGGGTGTCATCTCGTCCAGGCCTTGCAGCAGAAACACGGGCAAGAGTAGATGTCTTTGACTCAAAACCAGGTTGAATCCTTTGGGTTGTAGACAGTCGACCACCGGATGACATCAACCTGCTTGAGCGACCGTCACTGGGCTCACCAGAAGAGCTTGGCCTACTTGATGATGCAACTGCTCTCTTTGAAGTACTCCCATTCCTAGAAATACGACCTCTTTCACGATCTGCTTGCTGAACATAAATCATATTGTTAGTATTACCTTTATTTTTCCCCCTAAATTAAGAACAATATCCGACAAGACAATAAATTAAACAGGATCTGCAAGAAGCCAAATCAGGCTTCCTTTACCAGCACGTCCCAAATTAAATATAAAAATAATACTTTGGTACACGTTTAAGAAACAAAACAGACCCCCCGTTTGAAACAGTTTAGTTGCTCATGGTTGGTACTCCTAGAAAAAACAAGCATTTATATATGTACTTACCACATCCTTTGATGATGGCTCATCTGATGATCTATGACGTGAATCACCTTGCAAACCTGAGCTCGAATTATTTCTTCTAGTAAATAACTCAGCTGTACCAGTAAATCTATCTCGGATTTCTTGTCCTACTAGGTCACAAAACAAACAGTATATTAATTGCTTAACATATAAATACACACAAAAAAAAAAAAAAACAAAAAAAAAAAAAAAAAAAAAAAAAAACCTGTTCTTTTCTACTTATCCCAATTGATCATTGAGAGAAGACTAACAGCACTTTCAGGGAGGAAAATTACCTGGAGTCCTCTCAGCTCTTTCAGCAGAAGGTCCGGGATTTAAAGCGGGTTTCGCAGTTGGCTGCAAGATAAAGGCACATAACAATATGAGATAAATAATTTTTTTTTGAAGAATAGCTATATAGCCATTATACTAACCCGTGATCGGGAGCTGGAACCAATTTGTGGATATTTCAATATTGTCCAGTCAAATACATAGTCAAATTGGTAACCTGCACCAACAAACAATTTATGACATTACTATTGTAATTTGACAATGCCAGCCAGGGCAATATTATACACTGATATGATTTCTAGAAAAAACATAGCTTGTCACTTCAGTAAAAATAATGAATACCTTCTCGAATAAAAAGATCCCGAAATAGTCTTTTAAGATATGAGTAATCAGGCTTGTCATCAAACCGTAATGACCGGCAATAGTGGAAGTATGATGTGAATTCTGAGGGATAATTTTTGCAAAGAACCTGTAATCAGCAATAAGCTTTAAAAGGCTGAAATTCAAGGTTACAAAGTATAAAAGAAAAGAGGAAGGTATAATCTTGTAATACTAGCAATCCAGCCCCTTTAGGTAAAATAATCCAAAGGCACAGCAGGAGCACATGTCAATACCTCTATGGGCGTAAGCATTTTCTTTTCACTTATTTTGTCATACTTCTGCTTTTTAGTTCCAGCTTTCAAGCCCTGCCATGGAAGGCTGACACAAAGAATGCTTCATGAGTAAATCATGTTACATGAAATATAAGGTGGTGTATATAATTAAGACAAAGGGGAAAAATAAAATAAAATTGAATTCTACCTTCCCCTCAAAAAATACATGAGGACATAGCCAAGGGACTCTAGATCGTCTCTTCTGCTTTGTTCTAAAAATAAAATTTAAAAGAATCAGTTACAAGTTCAACAGCCACCAATTCTATGACTATATAAAGAGTTACTCTCAAACAATGGAGAATCAGAGGTGAAAAAGCAATCTCACTTACCAACACCAAGATGAGTATTGACACTAGCATATCGAGCAGTCCCTGTGAGATTCTTGTTTTCTCTGCATAATGTTACTCATGAGAATACAGAGATGACATTGACAACCAAAAAAACATATAACTAACACTAACTAATATGAATAAGAAATGAAAGACATGATAGCCCTGTTGTGAGTTGAAAATAATTCAGGAAGTCAACAGTGCTTTGCCACCAAATGATGAATTGATGATGATTATTCAGTTAGCTGATAGCACTAGCTTTCTATTTAAAAGTGTAGGTTATATATATTAATTAGAACTTAAAGCATGTAATATGACATATATGAGCACTAACAATATTTTTTAATCTATTTTTTTTAGCTTTAACACTTTGATTTTCACTCTATTCGTATACTCTATCTTCTCTAATTGTAGTAAGTTTTATAGGAAAAACACAATCACGTGAGATCTTGTCAATTTTCAAGATTTGTCTCAATGTGTAAGTGAAAGTGTTTAAACAAAATGTTCTGTGATTTTTATTTTAAATAAATATTGGCACTTTTTATAGCTTCACATACTTCCTCCGTTTTTCTTAGATGCATCACTTTCTATAAGTGGAAATTTCAATTTAGATGCATCGCTTTCCTTTTTAGTTAATAAATTCTCTCTATCGCTTTCCTATCACATGGGCCCTCTTTATTTTTTCTTTCCATCTCTCTCTACTCCAAAATTGTCTTGGAGTCTGCAATTACAAAAGTGATATATCTAATAAAAAACAGAAGTATAAATTTAAAATCTAAACCAATTATGCCAAACAAATTAACTTGAAATCTTCTCATTAAACAAGTAATGACGACATTCAGCAAAGTTTCATTTTTCACTAAATGTACTGGCTAGCAAAATTCTAAAACTTCCAACTGCATTTGATTTAAATCTTAATAGTTTGGAAACTTTTTTTGTTCAGTGCATTACAAGAGTCCTCACAGACAGATGAAACCTAACAGTTAAAACGTGAAGCACATCCAAGAATTTTAACTCTTAACGATGATGTAGGATCAGTGTGGATTAATAGACCTCAAAAGCCATCATTTCAAAAACTTAAGGTATTATTCTGCTATAAGTGGGTACACGAGGATGTCAAAGTACCTGTAAGGTATGTGTTTGTGTGTTTGAAGATCACGATACTTTTTTGCAAGGCCAAAATCAATGACATACACCTGCAAGAAGAAAAACAGAAATTGGCAGGAAAAGTAAGCATACTTCAATGATCTTGAAATTTATAACTAACCAACCAAAACTCAAAAGGCAAGTGATATTATAAGGTGAAAATGTGAATCATTTTATCTAGTTTACTGTTGACATTTCAGTAACACTTTACTTTGCTTAGAAAATAAACCAATACAGTATGATATAGATGTTAAAATTAATAAAATACATATATACTCGATGAATCAGTAAGAAATTTTCCATGGTATACAATCAACTTTGTAGCACATAAAAAGTAGTTGCACGATGAAAGATTTCGGCACAGATTAAATGACCAACATTGGTGTATTAACTTTCATAGTTGCAATCTTTAGCTTGCAGGATTAATTTAGAGAGGCGCAAGGAAAAAGAACATACTCAAACATCAAACATCAATATTGACCAGTCACCAAACTACCTCAAGCATCTGAAAGGTCAAAAATTCTGCAAACTAACAAGATTCAACTACCAAATCCCAATAACAGAGCAAGGACAACAAAGAGACAAACAGTGGAAAAAATATCATAGCTAACTAGCCACTTTGCCAGCTGCCACTAGGCAGATCACACCTTTAAGCCCTTTAAAAAAACATTTATCCACATGACACCTTTTTGCATAGCCTTCAGCAATGATAGCCAATCTGCATTGCCATGACTTTCAGTTGCGACAACAATCACCCAAATTGAAGCAACCATACCCATAAAAAATTCAACTCCTTCACATCCAATCATAATAAGCCTTCATTTCCCACATCAATGTGAGCCATTTACACAGATACTCCAAAGAGGGAAGGGATCATAAGACTCATAATGATTAGTGGGCCTATATCTTTAAATAATAATAATAATACTAATAATAAAAATAAAAATAAAAAAAGGCAACAATGATAAATATCCAGTTTAAAAGACAAAAACTCAACACATGATACTAGACAGACCTCAAAAATAAGTGGGCTGTTGACTTAACTATCACGCACAAGAAAAGGGGTCATCACTCACCCATATCACAGTATCAGGTCTGGGATTTCACAAACCAAGAGAAAGAAAAAGCCCTTGTCAGGTATGTGAGGCGATGTAGGTATTTCTGATGGTTTCAGTTAGAGAGGAGGAAGTTCCTGATTAGTTTACGCCATGCAAAAAGCCCATAGTAACACATATAAAATTACACACCAACAGATCTAGAAATAACAAGAACATATGACTAGGACTCTGGGATAGAGATCATTATGAACATGAAGGAACAGAGTGTCCGAGCCAGAAATGTGCAACTGTGTAAGGAGGTTCAACTTGAAATCTTTTGAATCCAGGAATCCAAAGGTCACAAAAATTGCCTTGTAACCACAATGCGGCGAATGCACAGTCTCAAAAAAATGTTTCATAGCAATATTATTTTAACTGGCAAACCATCAAACCAAGTACCTAGAAAAATAACATTAATGGGTTCTGACTTCTGAGCAAAGAGTGAACAAAAAACCGTTTATTTATGACATATGCTTACAGGCTACAATAGTTAAAGATCCAATAGGGGGGAAAAAAAACATTATTCTCATCTTGATATCTAGTACTTTCAAAACAAAAAACACTTGGAATCGAGCTGAAGTAACATAACCAAATAAACCTAGCAGTCAAATCCTCACAGTGACACAGATGAAGAGAAAATTTTTGATGTTCAAGATGTACCTGATTTGCCTTCCGTCCAAGACCCATCAAAAAGTTGTCAGGTTTTATATCACGGTGAAGAAAGCCTCTTGAGTGCATATATTCCACCCTATTGATCTACATAAGAAACCAAGGGAAATCACGTTAAGCAAGTAATATCATTCCATTGCAAATTACTGTTTAAAAAGCAGCTTACCATTTGATCAGCAAGCATTAGAACTGTCTTTAGGGAAAATTTGCGGTTGCAATAGTTAAATAAGTCCTCTAGACTTGGGCCAAGAAGATCAATAACCATGACATTGTATTCACCTTCAACTCCAAACCATTTTAGATGGGGAACACCAGCTGCATTACAGATGAGAAAAAAGACAGATTAGTGTACCCTACTATAATCAACAAACATTCACAAATCACTGAGGGGTATAAGGAAAGAGAGGTCACTTACTGCCTCCCTGAAGAAGCATGTACAATTTCGACTCATAATGCAGCTGAGGGTGCTTTGTCTTTGCAGGTTCCTATAATAAACAAAATATTTTAGAATGTGAAATAAGCAGCAGACAGAGAAATATTCTGCCAGCCAAGCTGGCAGGGACTGTGGTTTGTCTCCCATTTACACAAAAACAAACCAGAATAAACTGTTGACACTGTACACGAAGAAACACAATAATGTGTGGAAACAAAGGTCTAATAATGGGACTCTCACTACTCGATGCACTATTCAGAAAGAACTCACAAACTTCATCCTTTAGGCTATTGTCATCATCCAACATTTAAAAATTAGCTGTTCATTTACAATTGAGACAAGTAGTGGAGCATTCATGTTTGATTATATAATTTCTAGTTGAACTAATACCTACAAGAATTGAAGATTGCAACATTTACACATATATGATGATCTGGCTAGACTAAACTACAAATTACTCCATAATTACTCAGCTAACAAGCCTGTAGACACCAGCACACAACATCATATTAACCTATAAGAAGCATATACTAAGATAAAAACATACATATTTATACACTATACTGTGAAGTATGAACAAAACACCAAATTCAACCACACCAGTAAACTTTCACCAATTTAAACCATAAAAGAAGAATGATCAGGACACAAACCAGCTTAACGGCGACTTCCTCACCAGTCTGTACACTGATACCTACACCAACAACAATCAACACAAATTTAGAGCAACATATCATCAAACATAATATCTTCTTAATAATTACAAAAATTTGGCAGAATCGCGGTACCTAAGTAAAGCTCCCCAAATGAACCACTACCAATCTTACGGCCGAGCTTAAACTTCCCGCCAATTACATGATCCATGGTAAAGCACTCCCAAACAGCTTAGGCTAACCCAAATTTAAAACTTTAAAGAACCCAAAAAAAAAAAAAAAAAAAAAATGGAAAGAATAACCCTTGCCCCAACTACAATTTAGAGGAAACTAAAAAATTACTACTTTTTATACAAGTAAATAAGAGGGGAAAAGCCTCCCTTAGATCAACCAAACAGATTTTACCAAATAATTGCTACTATTTGTACAAACTACAGTTTAATCAGAAAACTTCAATTTTTTGACAAATTAAAAGAGAGCCAGAAAATTTCTTAGAAAATAAAAAACGCTCTTCTTATCAGATCCAACAGTAATAAAGAGTTGAAAAAAGGGGGCTGCATAACACTATTAACCCAGAAAAAAAATTGAAAACAAAAAACCCTAGAACTCGAATTCAACGGCGATGATTATTGAAAATACGGAACAACTTTTCGATTATCAAACGGCATTGCCCAAAAATTGGCACAGCGATGATATAATAATGGAGAAAAAGAGGGGAAAAAGAGTCGTTGAAGAAGAGGATTGAAATTAAAGCTAGTTGAGTAAGAAAAATTAAAAATCGAATCTTGGAAAATCGAAAATTCAGGAAATTATAGATCTGTTAAAGAGTTTGGATCTGTGTAAGAGAGATTCTCCTGGAAAAAAAAATTGAGGAGAGAGAAAATGAAAGGAGGAAGAAGAAGAAGAAGAAGAAGAAGAAGAAGAAGAAGAAGAGTTTCGCAAAGGGGAGAAACCAAAAGGAAGAGGATAATAAAAGGAAGATGAAGAAGAACCAAATTGTGATTATTGTTTGTTATTGGTGTTAATTAATTAAAGTTGTTAACAAGCGCTTGAGGCGTTAAAAATATATTACTCCATATCATTATATTTTCTAAAACACAAATTATTGGGTGCGCCAATTCGCACCCAATAGTTCGTGCGGCAGCCTATTTCATCTATCAAAATTCTGTCATTTCTTCTTCATCTTTATCTCATTCTAAAACCCTAAATCTCTCTTCTTCAATCTCCTTAAACCAATCCGCTTCAAGCAATCGAAGCGCCCGCTCGAAGACTACTGATTTGTTGGCTGAATTTGTGCGATTTGCAGCTTCTCAATTCAAATTGGTGGTGCGATGGTGGGGTGGCTGATACGTGGTGGTTGGTTTAGGCGGTTAGTGTTGCAATTGGCTCTGATTAGCGTCGCGGATGTTGAGGGAGTACGGGTTGTGAGTCGTTCGAGTTGGTGGATGCTAGTGTTGTTTGGGGGTGGTGTGAATTTGGAGGTGGTTGTTTGCGGTGGTCTGGCGTCGCTGTTGTTTATGTGTTAATTGTTATTGTTGAAGCGGTTGTTGTGGCGCGGGTCGTGAAGGTGGTGCGGGTGGTAGTGGTCTAGAGGGAAATGCGGCGGAGGAGAGGGCGACGAGTGGTGGCGAAGTGGGTGGTGGGGGTGGTGAAGGGTGAGGGAGTGCGCAGAGCATTTCGGGTTTGGAGTTTGAGTTTGAGCATTTCTTGTTGTTGGCTGATATATACCTTATGCTATTGAGATACTTCATTACACCAATAAATTTTATTTGTGTGTCTCTCTAAATAAAAGCTTGTGCTATTGGGATTACCTTATACTTTATTTTTATTTTTTGTTAATGAGCCAGAGATGAAACCTATACTCATTTTAAAGAGAGAGAAAGAAAGAGAGGAAGAGAGAGAAGGAAATATAAATATATTGTATGTTGTTAATCATACTAGCCAGCAAATGACGCATATCAGCCATTAAAATGAACATATCAGCTAATTCATGTCTGATATCAATCAACATTAGGGACATATCAGACATTAATAAAAACGTATCAGCCAACTCAAGGAACATATCAGCCAACAAAAGATGCATATCAGCTAACAAATGAAGCATATCAACCAACAAAAGGATGAAATTAGCAAACAAATTAAAAGCAACAGGTAAGCCAATAAAATAAACACATTAGCCAACAACATGAAACATATAAGCCAACAATTAAAATATACATATCAGCCAATTAACAAAATAAAGATATCAGCCAACTAAAGAAATATATTAGTCAACTGATGTCTGATAGCAGCCAACAAAATAAACATATTAAACATTAAAAAAAAACATATCAGCCAACAAAAAGAATATATCAGCCAACACAAAAAACATATTGGCCAACAAGTGAAACATATCAGTCCAAGCCTGCCGTACGCATAAATTGTGTACGGCAGTCCGCACCCAATACCTTCTCTTTCTAAAATGGTATTGTATTTAGTTAGGAATGGATATCAACTCAACGTCGATTGATGCAATTAATTTATTGTTTTTATTTTTAGTCATCTTAATTAACTATTTGGGGTGTTCGTTAGTTTTTGCCTTTTTAATTACATGAAAGGTACTTTTAATTTTTTTTTTCATCAATGTAGCATGCGCCATACACTTTGCTGGATGGACATGTAGGATTTTGATGTGAATCGGATTTGATTGAATATTGGGCACTTCGTGCTATTTACTTATTCAAACATTAATCAATTAGCAATTAGCAATGTTTTTGGTTATTGAAAAATTAAATCAATGCAAAATGTATAAAAGGATTAATTATATGGAAAAATTGATTTCATGCAATGATGTTTTTGGTTATGCTTTATATTCGATTTGTCAATCACCACTTTTTAGTTAGCTTGAATTAGTGAGACAAATTTTCCAAGGAAAATATAACTATTTATTCTACAATTCTTTATTCCTATGCTTAAGTTGGTTGGATGGTGTTTGTAGTTTGTTGGGGAATAAATTCTCTAATTTCATTCAATTCATAAATTTTTCATGAGTCATCACTTCAATCAATTAATTTATTTGATTGAGTTATTATTCTTCTTTTATTTGAAAGTAAATTATATTTATCTTTATTTAGTGGTCTATTATAAGCACTCGAACATTTAAATAAATCATGGAGTACAAGTCTAGGGTAGTAAGTTAAATAGGGTAGTACATACATTATGGTAATATGTATTTCAATATAGAGTAATAAGTTAAATATAGAACCTAAAATCAAATCATCCTTTAAAATAAAAGTGATGTTGACCCCATAACATGTTTAGTCTAGGGTAGACTTGACTCGTCATTGCGTCTCCTTATCGATACCAATCAAACCACCAAACCCCACCCCCCCCCTCCCCAAATTGCTAAGAAGTAAGATAGGACCGAAATCGGAATAACCTAATTTTTTAAACGGGGGACCGAACTTGAATTATCCGGTCCAAACCTATTGATTAGTAGTCCATTACATGCCTTAAGTCCAACATTAATGAAGCAATAGCTCATTTAGAAGGGTTAAGCTCAAACAATATGGTTCGAGTGCAACAACCAAGAGCACTTTTAATGTCACTGTAGATTGTTAAAGGAGAGATCTCAAGTTACATTCTCCAATCATACAGTTGTGCACATCAATACCAAGAAAGACAAATGCTTTCACTCCCAATAGCAACCTTAGGGAGATATTCTAGGCAAATACCGATAAGTGATTTGTCTATCCATAACAAACGGAAGAAGACAAAGGGAGAAATATGTGACATTATAAGTATTATTGCTAGAAGATAAGAGAGTTGAAAGACGAATATGTAAGTGAAGAAAAACAAAGAATATTACAAGGAGATAATACTCGTACTACTAGACCATCTACTAGTACAAAAAATATTGCACATACATCAAAATCAATAAGAAAGAGTACAATTTTTTTTTTTTAAAACAATGAATAAAAACAAAACAAAAAAAAAAGGTTGATTATATATATATACATGGTAGCACTTCCTTCGGCCTTAGACACCTCAAACACCGTTGCAATCAGCTTACGCGTAATTATATGCAAGCAATCCAACCAAGCAAGTAACATCTTATTGAAATCCTTCTTACAAAATTACCATCCAAAAACTCAACCTTACTAGGTTATTCTTTCGTACCAAAAACAGTAACACAATTTTTTATTGTATTTGTGTAAGCTTTTCCAAAGGCAAAAATGTAGTCTAGTTGCATGATTTTAATACTAATATTGTTTGTAGTGGATAAGGATAACAAGATTTTGTGACCTAATTAACAAATACCAATATACCATGGCAAGCAAAAACTCATGCTTAAGAACAATAAGTATGACTTGGTTATATTTGTCTATATTTTAATCCTACACTAATCTTTTTTTTAATTATTTTTTACACTAAGCAGAAATTGATAGGTACCCCAAATGCTTTGATTACGACATGATAATTACACCTACCAATGACATTTCAACAGCTAGCACTACAAAAATTAACTAACAGGGTTTGTTTATTTACTAATATAGTCTCTAAACTTAAAGCTAATGTGGCACCCAAAAAAGATATATAAAGCTATCTTATAGCAATGCTTTGTAAATATAGACAACAATAATAATAGCGGCCGATTTAGAAAAGTTTATCTTACTTCGAAATATGTGTTCTTATGAATTATAGTATTTTTATGCATTATTACACTTTCAAGTTTTAAAGTATACACATCCATTAATGTTTCAACTGGATGTCAATTAGATTACTCGGTCATGTTTTAATTAGTGGCGAAAATTTGTAATTAAAACCATCTATTTATAAAGGGTGAACGGATTTAGTCACTTGATTAGTACTACGTGGTAATAGTAACAAATTAAGAAAAGTAAACATGTTGTGAAGGAAAACGATTCATATTGTATTGGCAAGGGGATGACTTACTTTTATCAACTAGGTTTTGTCATTTTCATGTCGACAAATGAAAATACTACCAGGTGACAAGGTGACAATTTACAATAGCTTAAAGAACTTGACCAACTATTTAAAGCTTGTAATTAAGGTTTTATAAATAAAACTTGTGCATGACTTTTATTATGGTTCTTTGAGTAGTTTTTGAATCATAATTTATGCAATCATGATGTCTCTATTTATGAGGACTCCATTGTCCTCTCAAACTTTGTTGTGTATATAAATTAGGGACAATAAGTTAGGTAAACTTTCTACAAAGTATTCATTTTTTCTACTAGGATAACTTTTTAAAAAGACACCAACTTAGAGGCGGTAAGGTGTCACTATAAGTTAAAATCGAACGGTTTGTAATGTAATGTGCTTCAATTTGGTGGATGCATGTAAAGGGAATCATAGTAAATATTCATAGTAAATAGTAAATATTCATAATGCACTGTATACGCTATATCATGTGTCCCTACTGTGTGTTGAAATTTGCATATCCTATACATCAGGCTGCCTATATTTTTAAAAATTATTTATTGGCCGTCATGTGAACCTCACTAGTCACCACTCTATGACAACTTGTTAAGTTCTTACCTTTGAAGTATATATAGTTTTGTTTTCGAATATATTAATTTTTGCAGTTTGGTTTGTTGATCATATTTCTTGTAACACTTGCTGTTGGTGAGACATTTCTATTTCTCTTTATATTATTCTATCTGACTTATTTTACTTGAACTCATTTTTTTTGAACTCATTTTTTTTGAACTTATATTGTTCGTGAATCAAATTGTCTTAAGAAATTTAGTTTGTATTAAGTTGTCTACTATAAATTTATTTTGTATGAACTTATTTTGTTCAATCTTATCCTTGAAATAAGTCGAACAAATCAGAGTCTATGGTTCTGTTTGGCCAAACTTTTAGAAAACTGTTCTACTTTTTAAAAGTAGCTTTCCTGATTAGTTAATAAATTTGTTTGGCCACCGAATTTCAATTTTTTTTATTAAGAAAAAGAAGTAAATTGGTATGGTTTAGATGTTATTCTTTTTTTTTTTAATACATATTTTATGGTGCAAATTGACCCATTGTTTATGTCTAAGTATCTAAGACATAAAGAATAGTTGTTTGAAACCACTTGAAATGTGTATGAACATGAGTTGCTATAAACTTGTGAGCAACTCAATAATATATTTTATTAATATACAATTTAAAGAAAAAGGAATTGATGCTTACATTTTTTTTTTAAATGTGAAGTAAAAAAAGAATTCCGAAAGGACCAAAACTTTAATGAGCAAATCGTGAGCTAATAGACTAGCCTCGACTCCAAACTTTTATGGGCTTGAGTCAAGCAAGGCCTTTTTGAGCTTAGTGAGTAGCGATCACATGTAAAAAGTTTTTGATTCCAGTCAAGCCCCTCAGCTCGTGATTGACTCGCTCGATTAGTTGCCTCTACACTTAAGCGCAAAGTTGTTTTTGTTTTTGTTTTGTTTTTTTTAAAAAATAATCTGTATTGAAAAACTAACTATTTGAAGAATGAATGTTACAAATACGAGCATATAATCTAGCTTTACGCTTTACACATGAAAATGGTGGAGGTTTTGGACAATAGTTGTTAGAGAGGATGAGTTTTATATATAATTAGCTTTAGATTATACAATTTTAAAAGGTCAGTATAGTAAATATTTTGTTTAATCCTCAATTTATTTCTTCTATCATGCCAAAAAAGATATAAATATTGAGTCCTCTATCCCTATCCCCAGCTCATTCTAAACATCCTAACCCTGTTAGTGCTATTCCAAATGATGGTTGGTGCTATTCCAAATTTGATAGTTGGTGCTCATCAGAAAATTGCCTTCAAAATTAAGTGTAGCAGCATCAGAAATTGCCTTCAAAATTTCTTCTATCATGCTTGATGATGTTTATTATTTATTTCGTGCTCTAATTTCTTCTCCTTGTTCTATGAAATTTCTCAGTCATCATTTAGAATCACAGCAACTGCTGTTGTATTAGAGTTCAACCATGCTGCCCAGATAAAGAAGAAAATAAAGTTTACTGGTGAACCTTGCAAGATCTACAAGAAAACAGCATATATCAAAAATATGTTTACTTCAGATCTTGAAATAGCCAAATATGAAGGTGTAGCAATTCGAACTGTCAGTGGAATTCGTGGACAAGTAAAAAAGGTAAGGGAATGAGGAATAAACTTAAGTAAATTGCGGTTGGTATTAGTCTTTGTAGTAGTTAACAATTGAGTTTCTTTTCTTGTTTATTTGGGCTTTAGCTATTTCTTTTATATTTATTGTGGAGCTGCCTGCCATGTTATAAGACTTATAACTAGTCAGGCATAAAATGAAATTGAACTTCTCATCTTCTACTTTATATTTCTCATTGGTTGTTTTATTCCTATTTCCACCCCCTCGATATTCTTTTTGATTCTTAACAAAGCTGGGTGGGGTCAGGAACTGGGATGGTGGCAGGAGAATAAACTCCTGGAACAAGCAAAGGCAGACATAATATTAATGGAATACTGTTTTGTGATAGTTGGTGCCTCTTAATTAAGGTTATATTTGATTTAGATTTGTGCACGGGCAGTTCTTCTGATATGAGAGGCTGTATGATTTGGCAGGCTGCAAAAGAAGTGATTGGCAATAAATCAAAGAACGATGACATCCCGTCAAAGGGAGGGATTGCAAGGTGCACATTTGAGGACAAGATCCTTATGAGTGATGTAGTATTCTTCACAACATGGGTTAATGTGGACGTTCCAAAATTTTTTAATCCATTGACAACAGCTTTGCAACCTCGTGATCGAGCTTGGAAAGGAATGAAAACTGTTGCAGAATTGAGGAGAGAACTGGCTCTTCCAGTTCCTGTCAATAAGGATTCTCTGTACAAGGTAGGGTAAACACACAGTTTCTTTTTCTTCTAGCTTCAAGAAATTCTTGTACAATCTTTTTATATTTGGTTGTATGCGTGTATCTAATTAGAATTTTCACGTCTATGTATATTTTTCACAGCCAATTGAGAGACAACCGAAGAAATTCAATCCACTGATCATTCCCAAGTCTCTGCAACAAGCACTCCCGTTCAAAACAAAGCCCAAAGATATTCCTAAAAGAGTTAATGGACTTCTTAAAGATAGGAGACCTGTTATCGCAGAACCTGATGAGAAGAAAACCCTAAAGCTGGTTCAACACTATCAGCTGATTCGTCACAGCAAGGTATGCTTTACATTGATGGCCATGACAGTAGTACACATGCTTGTAGAGTTTTGCATCGTTTTGTGCTAATATGAACTATAAATGTTATATCCTTTTGATTTACTCTTCTCGGACTGTCAGCAGCAGTAATTTTTGTCATTTATAAAAATGATCACAGTTTGGTATTTCTTCGCCTAGCTCCAAGCATTGTGTAGATGTTGCCAAAGGATTGATCTATTGACCTAAATTTACATAGGAAAATAAGACTGTTCCCGTGTTTGTGCTTGCATTGCTGGCCAAAGTAATCTTTTTGAATGGGCACAAGGTCTGTATTTGTGACATAGTTGGTCAATGATAAACTTCAGATGTTCGAGTATTTTTAGCATACTAAAGTTGTCAATGATAAACTGATTTTATTATTTTGAGTACGATGACTTGTGGACTTGAAGTTACTGAGCTAGCAAGAAAAGGTTTGGCAATATTAATCTATGATGCTGAAACAGTCTTGATTTGTGATGTTTGTTGGTGTGCAGGAAAAGAAGAGAAAACAAAAGGATGAAGAAAAGAGAAAAAAGTTGGAGGCTCAAAAGGCAAAAGAAGAGGTGGTGTCAAGAAAACGGCAGAGAGAGGAACGGCGAGAAAGATACCGTCAACAAGATAAACTAAGCAAGAGAGCACGCAAAACATCTGAAGACTAGATATATCTCTACAAATACTACCAGTTTTACATTTTCCAACCAGATTTATTTGGGAGTATTTCCTTGAACACTGAAGCGGTGAGTTTCAGAACTGCTTCCTACTCGTTAATCGTTTGCTTCCATTACACCATCTTCAGATGGAGAAGGACAGTACCAGTTAGAGGCAACTTGTGCTTTGTAGCCTTTAGAGAATGGTATTCTAGGAAAAATAGATAAATTTTGCTCTTGTTTTCTACCTGTAAGTAAAACAACAGGGCGTTTTTGTAATAGCCCTCTGTACTCTAGTATCACGATAATTCGTTCACTGCTTTATGTGCCTTTTCCGTTCAGTTTCATTTTATTATTATTTTTTTCTTTTGGTGAGAAAACTAAGTTTTCAGCAGTTAGTGAACTAATTCCATACAAGTTTTTTCGTTTTTTTATTTAAAAAATAAATAGTTCTTTATATCAAAATTTGTTGGATAATCGGATACCCAATCAGTTTCTGTTGCGGTTCAAAAAAATGCAGATTGGAACCTGCGGATTCTTGCTTTTATTATGCGGAATTAAAACAGCTGAATTTATTTCTGATTTTAAAGCCTCAACAATTCAACATACCTGTAATTGGCTCCAATTCTTTTGCAAGTTTTTTTTTTTTTTAGGTTACCGAGATTGCTCATTAGCAACTATTGCACCTCACCACTTAGTCTTATGTAGTGTAAACTATAGAAGTATAGGGAGTAGTATAAATCCGATTATAATTCAATTATAATACGAAGTAGTTTTATAAATCATAACATCAAATCAAATCAGATCAGACTAAATTAAAATAGAAAAAATCCCATTAAACTGATCTTATTCGCAAGTTATTCACAAACGTATGCGCTATCGATATCTTTACCACCCCTACTAAAATACCTCTTCTCAAACGAAGCCAAAAAAAAGAATCGTTATTTGTTTTTGTCTTTTAGTAAGACTCACACTCCTCGCCATTTCCATCTTTCTCCTTGTTATACAGTACTGCACTACACTGTACACCCACTTAATTGGGCTCCAAGGCAACCAAAACTACTGTAAGAAAAAAGAAAAAAAAAATTACTCTTTTAATATATAAGAAATCCATTTTTTCTTTGTTGTATTTTCATTTTTCTAATGCTAAAAAAATCTGCAGTTTTTCTCACTCATCAATGAAGAGCTTCAAAATCATTCCATAAAATCAAGCTGAAGGTATCTCTCTTAACCACTTTTCTCTCTCCAACCCAGATTTTGAAATGTTGCAGAAATTTTACTTTTATATAAAAAAAAAATTATGTTTCATAGAATTTTCCAGCTGTTTGATTTGTGTTTTTGCTCCTTCTATAATGTTAAGCTTAAAATATTTTTGTGCAAAATACTTGAGTTTGGAATTGTTAAAATTTTCTTATAGTTTGGATTTTGTATTGATGCTCTGTTTTTGGCTAAAATATGAACTTGCTTGTGTTAAACCTGCTTGATTGTTGTTCTTGACGGACTCAAATTATATTCTAAGTGACTTAACCCACATTTTTCCAGATTCTGTGTATTTGAAGGTTATAGCTCAAATTTAAGGTTTTTTTTTTTTTTTTAAAAAAAATTCAGCTTCCCAGAATTTTCTTCCCTTTTTTTTTTGATATTTTGTTTTGTTTATTATTTTTTACTATGCTCTTGTTGTTGTTGATAATTTCCTGTGAAAATTTTTGGTTTAAAAGATCTGTGTATTTTTTTTTTTTTTTCTTTTTCATATTGCTGAATGTATACATTTAAGTATTCCTTTTCAACCATACCAGATCTTTATTTAAAAGTATTTTTTTAAAATTTATAACAGATTTCTTGTACATTGTGTTCTTACTATTAAATTTTGTGATTTTGATCTGGGTGTCCATTTTTTTAAGGTAAAAAATCTAAACAAATACCCTTGCAATTCATGTTTATGTGTGATTGTGTGCTGTATCAAAGTAGTTTAAATTATGTATGGTATAATCTTTGTATTAGTAACATTAAATACATGTTTCAAAACCATTGATTTCAGGATAACAGTATTACCTGATTTTGGAGGAAGTCTGAAACAATTGTTGGTCAATATATTGTTCTTTGTCAAAAATGTCTGATGAAAAAACCCTTAAAATCCCTCCAGAAATCTGGTTGACAATCTGGCAAAAACTGCCAGTGAAAACTATAGGCCAATGTCTGTGTGTGTGCAAACCCTGGAACACTCTCATTACTTCCTCTTCTTTTGTGGCTGCCCACACCGAGAATTCCTCTCAAGTGGAGGGTAATTCTCTTCTCTTGTATAGGCAATTCACAAATGCTCCCAAGAAAAATGAAGAGTACATGTTTATGCTCGATTCATCCCAAAAAGAATCAGACCTTGAGCCTTGCTACACCTTAACTTGCCCCTTTGTAATTGGAGAAGTTGGGAATTATTTCCGTGTGGTTGGTACTGTTAATGGTCTGATATGTCTCTCTGATGATCTGTTTGGGTACACCTACCTTACAATCCTTTGGAATCCCTTGCTTCGCAAATACATCAGACTTCCTGTGCCAAGAGTGAATTATGTTGTTAAAGGTGCCCACATATCTTCTTTTGGCTTTGGGTATGATACTAGGAAGGCTTCTCACAAGGTGGTGAGAATAAGCTACATGCGCGAAAAAAATGCCATGTATGATGTGACTCCTCCTACTGTTGAGCTGTATTCGGTTAAGGAAGGTAGATGGAGGTACGTGCCTGCTGACAGTCTGGTTAATATTTGCATATGTGACTACTGGTGGTCTCAATGTTTTCTCAATGGCGCTGTTCACTGGGTTGCTTGGGAGAGGGATGCTAGTAACCTTGCTTTCAGCAGAAACTGGTTTCTGATTTTTGATGTGGAAGAAGAGAAGTTCAAGAAGATGAAATTGCCTGATGCTCTTGCCAAAGTATGCACATTAGATCTGAGTGTTGCAGAGTATTGCTCTAAGTTGTCGGTTCTTCACTCTGTACTCAAAGGAGGCGCAGTAGGGAATGAAATGGAACGTTGTGAGATCTGGGTCAAGGGAGAATATACTGTGGGGAGCTCATGGAGCAAAGTGGTTAGTATTGACATCAATTCAAGTGCTGGTTTAGGCTGGGTCCAGTGCTTGAGGAAAAATGGGGATGTTTTGGGGTTTTCCAAGAAAGGAGAGCTAGTGTCCTATGATCCACTGATGGAAAGGACTAAGGGCCTTGGTGTTCGTGGGTGTTGGCGCTCCTGGTTCACCTGTTCATTTACGGAGAGTCTCATTTTGCTGGACAGAAAGAAAGGTGTAGGTACTTATGACAAGACTGGAGGGAAGAAGAAGAAGTAAGTTTAAAAATATATTTTTTAGACAGATTGCTATGCTTTTCCTAGTGTATTTTTTTCTGTGACAAGTTTACTATATAATTTTGTTGGGTCTAATGAGTGGCAGACCTGGCAGTGCATAATACGATCATTGATTCTTAACTCACAGAATCATAGGTCATTGTTGTCTGGTTGCTTTTAGCCTCAAGTTTGGAAAAATTTATGACATATCTGTTGCAATATTGTTTTGTCTATAGATTTAAAACGGTTTTCTCCAATGGCATGCTGGACATGGAAGAAATAGAGGTTGATGGAAGCAGTGTAGGTGAAAAAGACCAGTCTTCAGGACAATGTAACTCTGTGTAAGTCCTTAATTCCTTGCTGTTAGCAAAATCACTGGGGATTTTCACTCAGACTCTGATTTGTTTCATACAGTTTGCTTATACCTTATATCTCTACAATTTCCTTATGTCTCACTGTCTCAGTGTTTTTATATTATATGATTACTGAGCAAACTTATAGCTCTATTGCTTCTATTTGACCCCTAAAACAATCTTGTAACACAAAATCATTTTGCTTTTGTTCTGCATAATATTTATCATTGTCCAATTTATGACTAAGCTTATCTTTTTTATTTCAAAATGTCTTTTTTGGGTCCACAATGTCACCACCTTCAAGTGAGACTGAAGATCTGATTATCTCTTAGGGGTTGGTTTAACTTTCCAACTATGTTTAAATGGCTGTAAAGGTTATATAAATTTTAAGGCTACCCAGATTCACTTTGTAGTTGACAGTGAAATGGAGTGTCTTGATTGGATTCAACTAATTTTTCTGGCTACCAATCCCAAACCGAATACTGTCTCTGCTTGATAGCATCAAACAGATACAATGAAATACTTAAATACATAAATTAAGTTAATGTATAATAATCATATCATTCATATGTATAATAATCATATCATTCATCTATACATCATCATTCATTCATCTATACATCATCAGTTAATGTATAATAATCATATCATTCATATGTATATGCATTCTTACATGTTCAATCTGAGAGTTAAAAGGTTTTCTGGTTGGTCCAATGACTTGTGAACTCATAGACCCAAGTCTTATTGGCTTTACATAGTGACACATAGTACTCATTTGTAATACACAATAAGGCTTTCTGTGCTGCATCTTCAGATCTCACAAAGAGTATTTGCTCCAGCGAAATAAGGTTAAACAACATCATACTGATCAATTTTAACAATGATAATATCAGGTTTTTAGTGCCAGTAGTTTAGTCAAATTACATGCAAAACCTCCTATCTGTATGTCTGCTTCTTGTAGCTTCAATAATAGTGAGAAGTATCTGAATTAATCGTGATTTGTAATGATGCTGTTGAGAAACTATGATCATTTTTCGTCACTTTTGCAGTTATCATCAGGGAAAGTTCGTATTACTGGAGCAGCTGAGTAAATTTGATGGAACTAGCATTACAAGAGATCCCTCGGAGTATATGTCTATGGCTGGTTTTGAATTTTCTGAGTTCATGTCAATGGCTGAGTCCGTGGCTTGGTCTATGTCCATCGGTATAGTTTCATATCCTCATCTGTGATGGTTAACAGTTATATGAACTTGATCTTTATTTTGTTTGAGTGATGTTATGTGGGAGGGGTGTACTATACCCCTTTTATACTAAGTTCATGAGGATCCTTTAGATGTAATCATGTGTCAAGCGATATTCACTCACTGGCCTTCTCAGGTACCGGTCTACTCCTTTCCTAGAACCAGGAACGATATCTGCTCTATTAGACAGGCCAAACTCAGAAAACCATTCCATGAATTTTTTTGACATGTATTTGATAATATTTTTCATTCGTGAATTTAAACGTCAATGCATGTTTCAACACATGCTATGTTGTTGCTCATTAATCTTTTCATGTGTGATTCCAATATTATGCAGGTCATGGCTGAAGCTCCTCAGATTCAAGCCTTCAATCTGCAGCTGCAAATTTGTTCTTTGGCTGTCATTTTCGAAATGCTAACACTATGTTTGCACTCTAGTTAAGCTTAAGGAGAAACAATTATAAACTTCTAGCTTTTTTGGAACATGGATTTGGAAACTGTGGTTCTTTCAAGTTTAAGTTGCCTGTAATTAACTATAATCCGACTTTTGTGTACTGTGTCCTTCCTTATGAAAGGTTACTGTTTTACGCGCTAATTACTCAAGCCTGAGCAGCAGAAATTGTTAATAGGTTTTGCAAGAAGTATGATAGTGATTAGAAATGTACGAAAAAGAGTATTTGTTCAGTAAGATTGAATCGTGGTGCAACCGTTGTATAAAATTTTTCCGGCTAAAGTGATGCACTAAACCACTTGGAAGTAAATCATAACAAGGTGAAACTCCTGTTTCTCTTGTACACAGAAACTACACATGGTAAAAATACAAAAATATATAGTGGCCTTGCATTATTTCTTTTCCTTACTTCTTTTGATAAACTCAGGTATGCAAACTACAAATGCTACGAAAATTACACATCCACTGGTACACGTTTATACAAGTGCTCTGCTGGTAACCTTGGCGAAAATATAGCTTGTAGAGGGGTGCTCATGTAGGTGACAATTCCGGGGGCTTCCTTCATTTCAATCTCCTCATCATTTGGTGGTTTCCAATCGAAATGATGCAAGAGATGACCCAACATTGATGTGACCAAATTTATGCCTAGTTGTGTTCCCGGGCAGATACGTCTACCTGCACCAAAGGGAAGTAACCGGAAATCATGACCCTTCATGTCGATATCCTCTTCAAAGAACCGTTCTGGCCTGAACTCTTGAGGATCGCGCCAAGCATTGGGGTCACGGCCCAAACCCCAAACATTTACGTAGACAATCGAGCCCTTAGGAACATCATATCCACCAATCTTGACATGAGCTTTGGCCTTGTGGGGCAACATAAGAGGGGTTGGAGGATGAAGCCTTAGGGACTCCTTGGCTAGAGCTTGTAAGTAGGGAAGGTTCGAGAAATCTTCTTCAGTCATGATTCGATCCTGCCCAATAACCCGGTCTAGCTCTTCTTGAGCCTTCTTTTGTACTCTTGGGTTCTTTATTAGCTCGGCTAAAGCCCACTCAACCGAGATTGAAACTGTGTCCATTCCAGCAATGACCATGTCCTGCACCAAATCAAAAGAATGGACATCTTAGCTACTATAACATATAAACTTAGAAATTGAATTTTATAAATGTTATCAAAGAATGCATACGTACCCAAAGAAGCCCAATCACGGTGTCTTCACTAAGATCATACTCATCCTTTAGGCCAAGCAAGGCATCAACAAAATGTTGCTTTACACCACCAATGTTTTGAGACTTGGCTTTAGCATGCTCCTCCATGATTTCTCGAGTGAATCGATCCAACCGAGTATTGTGCACAGCAGCCTCACCCTTTTCTTTGTCGAGAGGCACCAACAACCATCTTAGCCACGGTAGGTGCTCGGCCAAGAAGCTTGTCTTGCTACTTTTAAACCCACTAGATAATATACCCTTGAATTCCTTTCCTAAGGGATCCAATTCTCCCTTATCATTTATAAACCTCTTCCCAAAAGTTAGCCTTGTGATGTTGTTAAATGACACTGTCCCTATGTATCGCCTTACTTTAAGGGGCTTTCCTTTGTTTTCTGCACGAACAAAAAATAAAAAACATGTTTTTAGTATCAAAGTTTACCATAATTTCTAGATCAAATTTTGTTCAACTATAATCAAACTTCATGTAATGAACGTACGTGAAAGTTGCAATTGATATGGTGTGTAAGTTAACATTCACGACGTTTTAGTGGTAGTAAACCAAACAAGGCCAACACCGGGTGTTGATTGGTAAACTCGTGCACAAATATGAAAATCGTGTCAAATTTTTCTTCAATATTCGACGATTATTTTCAAATGGAGTATATGTATGTCTTTTAGCTAGGGAATAGTCATGAGGTTTAGGTGATATGTTGGTAATCAAGCAATTGTTTTATAGTCAAATTGAATGGTTTTGTTCAATTAGCTAAAATCAAAATCAAATGAGACTAAAAAAGATAGTTCACCTAACTTAATTATTCCTTCCAAGGAAAAATAAAGCAAGGTATACTAATCTTTGATCTACTCCAACCCAAAAGTCGGCTTATATGGCTCAATATGCTTGACTTTAGCCAGTGTGTCTAGCCTAGTAAAAAACGGGCCGAGTCAAGCGAACCAAAGTTTAGATATGCGTACGTATCAAACTAAGTGGTTCAAACCACACTTGACAATCACATAGTTAAAGAATACTTTGTACATTATATTATGAAACGGAGGAAGCAGAAACTAGCTAGCATAACAATTATTAAAGCGAAAACAGTACTCTTAACGTTGTCCAATGGCTATTGGTATATAAAGAAGACGTTAAGTATTCAATTTTCTAATCAAGAAGATGACACTTGAAAAGGTGTTTGCCCACTAACTTTCACATGCCCAAATTCATCATTGTGACTTGTGAGATTTGTGAAAAAATATTAAGTTTGTACCACAAAATTAAACAGTTAAGATGAGATTAATAATTTGTACATTGCACATGGACATGGCTCATAATTATCACTATAATTATTGAAAATTGTACGCTTAACGTGCTATACCATCCTATATTAATTGTATAAGTACGTAGTTCAATCAAGTTTGACCCTATACATTGCATATTTAAGCACATTTATAATATTTTCAATTATAGTCTCTGTGATCAACTACTCGCAACTTAATTAAAATCGATTTGATCTAGGTTAAAGTCAAATTAGTATGTTATATATCTCGAGTAAAGTTGTACGGTCAATTTAAGTCTAGGTCAATTTTGAGTTATGTTATCTTGGATAAAGCTATACGACTCAGTATATCAAATTTCTCAATGTAGGTACTCCGTAATAAGGTGATGATGTGTTTGACATGTGAAACAGTGTATACCATTATTATCGAAGAATTATTGAGCTCTATATAATATTCCTACCACATATCCATACGCAGTACAAAAATTATTAAAACTAAACAAAGATCATGCTAATTAATTAAATATTTAATTATTTACTAATCAACAAATTAGCTGACCCGCAAAGTACGTAGCTGGCATATGGAATACTTGTATTTAGTTGGTATATTTGCAAGTGTCCGGTTTGTCGGCGGGTCATGCTAGGACTAGTATTTAGTTATAGCGCATCTTAGTCTTAGATCAGACGGACTTACAAAAAACGTAATAAGACATAAATATAAGAGTCAATAATTACATAAAAGAATTTGTCAAGTTTTAAGTATAATTTAATTTTAATACTATAACCTCATTCTTATAAATGACAATCAATGAGTAATTGTTGATATCATTTAATTATTTTGTAGCTCCTCTTACATGAAAGTTCATTATCAAAGTGGAAAATTTTGGTACATTTTCAGCCAATAATTCCTTTGCTCCACCTAGAAAATGATATAACTCCATAAAGGATGTGGTGTCACATGTTTGTGGTGGCATGTTATTTATATGGTGCCAAAAAAAACTCATATTTATTTCCAATAGTTTATATTTTACAAACAATCAATTATTAAATAATAAATAAATTGTCTAAAACCTCCTTCCCCACCACAATATTATGTCGCCTTATGGATTTATGGTTAATTCTAAAAATTCTATGCAAGTGAAAAAATAGAAAAAAATAATAATTACATCATAAGACTCGACGTACTCAAAAGATTAAGTAGTCCCTTCGTCCAATATTACTGATATTAATTCGTAATCACGCACGCTAATATCGTCATTAACAGTATATTAATCTAAATGTATAAGGTACTATTTTGCATTAATTTTTGATTGATCAATTTTCATACTCCTATGTTTTTATTAGAATTAAAACTCTGAAAAGAAAATCTGACAAGAAAAGAAGCCAGGTCAGTCGCCCGCCAATTTTGATGTTGTGAATGAAATAACATTAAATGATCAAACACTTGAAACCTGACTTTTTAATGGGCCCTTCAATTTTGCCGGTTAGCTTAATTTAACAAATTGTTGGTGCCGCACATTCAAACAATTTCACAAGGATTCACAACCATTTTAAGCAACATTAAAACTTGCAACTCCTTTTTCTCTAGCTATTACATGACTCTTGATTGGTAATACCCTCGCTCTTACTTTATCTACCTTTTTCTATTCCGATATCACGCCAACATTGGATTTGCAACCCGTGTAATTGGATGCATGATTATTTCCATAGAGGTTGCGTACAAATACAACTTTTTTTGTGTGTCTTTGTCATATCAAATTTAAGATATGCACTATAGATTAATTAAAAGCATCCTTCCAAAATGCTTGCACTTAAAAAAGAAAAAAAAATGCTAATTGTAGGATAAAACTTAATTATATTAAGCCATGGTCCCCATTTCTTCCAAATGCTCACTTCTTTCACACAAATTATTTATCCCCCATAAATTCAGATAAAAATATTTAATAGTTCATCAAATTATTCTTTCTATTTCCTAAAGCAAATAAAAGTATTTTACATCCATTAAAAAAATGCATATATACTTCAACCTACATAAAATTTCCCTAAAATCATTTAAATCACCACAAATATTTCAGATAATGACCCAATTATATATATTAATGGTTAAAGTTATGTTTTAACAGACGTTCTAGAATAGAAACATCGCAACTAAAAAAACAGATAAAATATTCAAAATATAATTAAAAAAAAAAAAAAAGACATACCAGGTTTAGTGCAATCGTTGAAGAGAGATTCAATCATAGCAGTAACTTCATCTTCTCTAATGGGCCGAAGAGCCTCAAGTCTTTTCTGGGTAAAAAGCTCCAAAGTACAGGCCTTCCTAACCTTAACATAATGAGGCCCATAATCGGCCCAAATAAGATCTTTACCATCTTTACTAAATCTAGCAGATGATCTACTTCTATGTCTATCAGCCAATGTTTGATCATTTTCTTTCAATACTTGTTTTGCAAGTTCCGCATTCGAAACGATGACGTTCAGCTTCGTCCCTAGTCGAAACGAGAGTATTGGGCCGTACTTTTGGGCCCATTCGTGGAAACACTGGCACCGAACCGGCCCGATGTCGTATATGTTACCGACTACCGGCCACGGTTTCGGACCGGGCGGTAACTTGTATCTAAATCGTTCGAATAAGTTATAGGCCAAGAAAAGCAAGAGCAGTGAAGCAGGGATAATAACAAGAAGAGTCATGATATATGATTTTATGTACTACTAATTTGTTTTTGTTTTTGTTTTTTTTTTTTTTTTTTGGTTGTGTAAATTGGTGTTTATTTTTAAAGGAGAGAGAAATAAAAGGGTGTGTTTGGAAAAGTGGGAGGGGGAGAAATAAGGGTTTTAAGGTGAAGTGGGTGGAGAGGGGGTTGGTGATGGAAAAGGTGGAGGAGAGAGAGAGGAGAGAAGAAGAGGTGAAGGAAGAAAGTTAAACTAAGCTAATTAAGTTAAGCACCTTGTTTTGAATGACTATAATTTGGTGTAATGTAGATGGGATCTAGGAGTTTAATTTAATTTATAGTATTATCTATATGTATTTATTATTATAAACTACAAGTATTATTTATAGTATGGATCCCTTAATATGTATGTAGGCTTTGCTCTTAATATCTTATACTAGTCCGATATAAATTTTCTACTTGATTCATTGTTTGATTAGACCCTGTTTATTTTAACTTTAAAGGAGAGCACGACAGAGTAGAGTAAATTTCGATAAAGTAGAACAACTTATTTATACTAAGCAAAGCAGATCACAACAGGTCAAAAAAATAGGACCTAATTAGTTATAAAATATTAAAACCGATTTGCGTGATTCATGTTCACGCTAGATTAAACTATCAAACTTAGTCACACTTTTTCTATATCTCGATCTTTCTCAAGTGGAGTGCTCATGCATGAATACTTCATAGTCACACTTTTTCTATATCTCGATCTTTCTCCTCAAGTGGAGTGCTCATGCATGAATACTTCATACTAGTGAACCAATTTGGTCATAGTTGAGTCGAACATTAAAGAACAAACAAAATAGTATGCTTATTATGATTAAAGTGTGCATTAAAAACTGCATAAATTAAACCGCAATATAAAGCAAGTAATTTAATCGATTATATTATATGGACAAGAAGCAATGTCACCTACCACCATCGATTTGATCCAAACAAAGTCAGGAAGACAAAATCTTAATCTTCCAAGGTATGGCACCACACTACAAATCGTAACTAAGAAACAACCAACAAAAAGTTAAAAAAAAAAAAAAATAATAATTCCTAAAAAGGCAGAAACAATTTGATGACGATAACAAAAACAGTGAGGTGGCTCGGTCTATTTAAGTGTTTATAAGGTTATGGTAGTATGTTTAATTTACCTTATTTTTTCTTATCTGATTCGATTTAATTTTTTTTGTACGACATATATGCTTTTATTTGACTAAATGTTCAATCTCATGCATATGCATGCACTGTATGAGCTAAGGAAAAAATACATCATACAAAGTCTTAATATTAGATTTTTTATTAATGTGTATTTTATTAATTAATATGTAATTATTATTTTTTTTCATCACGACAGTAAAGATGATAAAATTAAAAATCACATACTTAAAGTATTTTTAATTCATTTTTATGATCTAATAACAACTTATTTTTGTAGATCTAATTTAATATAAGTAAAAAGGTTTTGAAATAAGTTAAACTAAACATATTCTAAGTTGTCAATCATTAAGTGATAAGAATTTAATTTGGTTCCATAAAAAATAAACAAAAAAGAATTTGTAATTCTGTGCATGGAAAAATTATGACACAACCAATATTTTAAAATTTTCTCCATTCACAAGTTTATGTTGGTGATTGTGCACATAAATGATTACATTATTTATATTTACAACTTTGTTGTTTGTGAAAATATATATAGAAAATCTATACCAATGTATTAAAAGACGTTCTTAAGAATGTTAATGTATGTGTCATATAAACCTTGACCTTTTTTCATTACGTCACGTTACCTATCCAATCTTTGATCTCATTATATCTCAGGTTTGAACACCTAACCTCTTATAATCATAATGTTGGTTATTCAACCATCTAAGCCAATCAGCAATCATGTTATAAACATGGAAATAAATTAATATAATTGCAAATAACAAGCTAAATAAAAAAAGACACCATAAATATCAAATACATATAATTAATCACAAAGAATAATTAACGTAACAACTCGGTGCAACGGCGCCTGGACTAGACACTAGTTTAATACTCTAAGGTATGTATTTATATAAGTTAAATATGTTATAGTTTATATAGAACATTAAAATAATTTAGTTGAGACTTGAGATTTATAGTAAATCACTGTTTGAGTAAGATTTTTATATTCCTAAAAAAAAAAAAAAACAATCTCAGCTCGTATATATGTATGTTTTTATTAGATGATATGTTTTAACTTTGAATACATATAAATTCAGAATAAGTTGTGAGTTTTTTCTGTTATTTATACTTGATAATTATCATAATCAATTATGTGGGATCATGTTGGATTATTATTAGTACAACAGTACATGCATGGTCTCAATTTAAATTCTCTATTGGGTGTTCGAAAATCACCCTAGCTAGGTGAGAAGTAGGGACAACAATCCAATCCGATTCCGACCCTACTCCGCCCCGATCCGAGGTAAAAAAATCCGCTCCGAGTTCGAAAAAAAAATAATCCGAGTTCGACTTCGTTAAAATAAACCAACTCTGAGTCGGAGGAAGGTCAGAGTCGGATCCTACAAAAAATTCGAGAAAAAAAAATCCGACTTCCACAATTGTCCGACTCTGACGAATTATCTGACTCCGACTCCAATAGATAGTGGATTTTTGTGTGGGTCATGGTGGCATTGGGTGTGGGTTGTAAAGGCCCAAATAGCCCAATTTCTCAAAGTATATTGAATAATGAAAAAAAAACTCATAGTTGGATTGGAGCCGGAGTCGGATATTGAAATCAAAGTCGGAGTCGGAGTCGGAGTCTTGAAGTCAGATGTCAGAGTCTCCGACTTCCGGTCGAGTCGAAGTCGAATTTAGCATAATCCACTCTGAGTCCAACCCGTTGCCATCCCTAGTGAGAAGAAATTGGCTATTTTCAATCATTTTTTTCTTAGATTTATCTACATACTCCGTAATATTTTCAACCATTGTTAGTTTTGTTAATTACAATGTTATAGAATCCTGAAATATTATAGTAATGGCCAATGGGTACGTGGGGCACGTAGCAATGTAGCATGGGGGGGGGGGGGTGGGAATTAACTATTTTCGGTGTTGGTAAAGGTGGTAGATTTACATATATATATTAGAAAATAAATAAAAAGTAGGAATATGATGAGGAAAATGATGGATAATATAGAGTGGATGGGAGTAGGTGAGTTTTGAAGTGGAAGAAAGTGATAAAAGCTTCAAAAGTGGGACAAAAAGACTAGTGTTTTGGGTTGGCAGTGGTTGGTGGACTTTGCTTTTGATTTACTTATCATTATATTATAAAATTACAAAATTAACCGTTCTTTCAGCTTAATTAGTGATGATAGAGTATATAAAACGAGCTTCGGTTTCAACCATGTTTTTACGATTAATTTATAGATTTTTTAAAACTGAAGGCCGGACTTCAAGATCAGTTTATATATCATATATCAATTAAGTTGCTCCATTTGAGAATTATTACTTTTTGATAGTACAATATAAGATAATATATAGAATAATTTCAGTAGAATGGAGAGAGTATGAATGAATTGATCTCAAATATCCAAAAATTCCTCAAGTTTGTGGAAATGAAGCTCTCTAGATTTTTGTCCAAGTCAAATATGGTTGCCTAGTTCAATTAGCTTGTTTCTCCTCTTGTCAAAAGCCAAAAGTTGACCTCAATTTTATCACATTATAGATTTATAGTACCAACAAATTTGTATGTTTGGTGTTACATATGTACGTCATAAATCATTTTTATCTTTCGGCGTTTTTAATATACTCCATAGTCAGTACGAACTTTTTACAATGTACTAAAAAGTCTAAAATTGATTTGTACATGTGGTGTTGGGCTTTTGTCAATTTATTAATCATCATTTATTATTATTATTATTATTATTATTATTATTATTATTATTATTATTATTATTTTCTTACAATGGTTTAAGCAAATATAAAAACATTACAAATTACGAGTCTTGCTAGTTCTTCTATTACAAAGAGAAAATATCAAACTAAGGTACTTTCATGTTTGATCTTGCCTATTTGAATATCTGCCACTTGACTTTGAGCATGCGACGAGGAACACACCGGTATAATATGTACTTCGTAAATAACTATATAGCGTCATAAATCATTTTTGTCCAAAATGAGATAATATTGGATTGATTCATTTAATAAAATTGTTCATTATCTCAGATGTGCGACATGTGGGGTTTGAATCTTGCCATGTCAAGATGATTTAGGATTTTTATAATCTTAATTAACTACTAGTCTTGTAATATTGATTTAATCTAATGTATAGTATCAATGTTTATAATTTTTTTTCCTAATCTATGATTTGTATATAATGAAGGTTATTAATAGCCGAATTGTGCTACAATTTGACAATTGTAAAAGCCAAATTAATATGATACATGCGTATGTAGAAACAATTTAAGAAATTAATTTGTTAAATAAGCTTATCATCTATAAACTTTGAGATAAACTAAACTGATTGTCAAAATCTGAAATAAAGTAGTGAAATTAAGGAGGTGTCATTGCATGTTTTTTTATTATTCAATTGACAAGTAATATTCCATAACAATACAAGTCATCTTATTCTAAAAACGACGGTCTATTTATCTTATCAAGTGTTTCGGGTGAAAACAATGGGACCTTGCCGAAGGTCCGATGAAACGGAGAAAACTAGATTCGGTCCAAGTTATGTTGGGCCGAAGGTTTCCTGCACAGTAAACACACGTAAACTAGCCTCGGGGGTGTTGCCGAGGAAGGCCCCTCCGATGCTAAAGTCAGTACAATGTGTTGAAAGAGAAGACTATGCAAGAGAGTTAGTTGCTTGAGGCTTTGCTTGAATTAATGAAAATGAATGTAAAAATGTAATATTGATGGCTTTTATACCTCTTCATACATGGAGAAGTTGGGCCTTAGCCCAATTGGCTTGCCTTGAGGGCTGATCTTTGACTTTAGCACAATTGGAGAGATGAACCTTGACCTTGGGCTTTTAATTGGATCATTTAATGCCTAAGCCCAATTGGACTAAATTGGACCCAAACAACTTGCCCCCCAGACCCGATTTGGAAGGATGACGGGTCGGGTTTGATTTAATCAGAAAATGAGGGAAGTGAATGATTTAATTAATCCAAAAATTTGAATTTAAACCGTAATTAATGAGATAACAACGGTTAAAGCGGATGATTGTGGAAGTTGGACGGATAATGGGCAGTTTAATCGCAAGGTCGCGTGTTTAACGGTTACTTAGTGGGGTATTTAAGAGAAATTGAAACGCGGACTCCCCGTATTCCCATTTCT